ACATTAAAAATACAGGGGAAAGAAGTTTTTGAAGTGTGATCTTATTTTGTATACCGTCTCTTATGACCTTTATCATTGTGAGTTTTGAATAGTGTCTGGTAATAAAGTTAGAGATAGCAAAAATTTTCTCATGTGTCCCCTTAGAGAATAAGTCAGGTATTGTGACATCTTGTTTCAGCTTTTATACTTCTTTTTCCTTTTTATCATGAATGTGTGGTTTGTTTGGTTGGGTTTTTCTCCTCCTATAGCCTGAGAGAAGAGCAAGGATATGCTCTAATTTTCCATTCTTCCTTTGACACTTGCAGCTGAAATAATAAGATAAAAGAGCCTATGAGAAGGTGATTCAGAAAGCTACTTGTAATGGACAGTCCACTAGACCTGTATTGTGGAAAGTTTGCAATGCAGACTGCATAAAACACTGCTGAACCTTTGAACCCAAAGTTGTTTGGTCTTTAGGACTTCTAATACATGTAGTCTTTCAAGTCCTACTTTCAAGAGTTTTAATTGATTTGAGTGACTTCATGCAAGATTTTGCTAAAGGCACTGGGAATAAAATGCTTGGGTAACTCTTTAAAACTTTTCCAGTTTGGTAGAGAATCTTCTGCTGTACATTTATTTTCAAAAATACTGGGAGAGAAAGCTCATTTCTTCTGAAAGAGCTACAGGAGCCTTCAGCAGAGTCCTTTCTCTCTTCTGAGGTAATTTGTTGTGCAGTGGCTCACAGTGCTGGCCCACTTGGCTACATGTTACCTAGGAAGGAGGTCTGTTCTGGACCACTGAGGCATGTGGTAAAAGCATCAGCGTTAAACTTGACTGGTCCTCCAGCTGCCCAAGTCTGAGTGTGGGTGCAGAGTTCCAGGACTGGTCATCATTTAGACAAGTCTTGTTAGTTTGGATAGCTCAAGCGTTTGGAGCACTAAATGCTGGCTACTGCTTAATGGATTATGAAGTTCAGGTTAAAACAAGCATATATGAAAGCTAAAATGCTTTATTGTTATATTTTGAACTGTCATTAATATGAAATGAAGATGTCAAAAGTAATGCCATGATAACCTCTTGTGTATCACTGAACTGAGATAATTGCTAGAGTATTTTAATTTGTCCAGTTAAGTTCACAGTCCTTACTAATGGATCCATTAGCTTTTTTAAAAATGCCACATGTTGATCTCATGGAAAAATCAAATAGTCAATATAGGAAGCATGGTTGCTTCAAATTGTAGTTGCTTTGCCAGAAGAAATACTGGCAGCCTCCAGTCAGAGGCCTAATTCTACATTAAGAATCATCCTGCTTTTTTATTTTTAAATTTTTACTGTTACCAAACTGAAAAGACTCCTTCAGAAATATGTAGTTAAACTGTGTAGTGCAATTCAAACTTTTGTCAATCCAAGTTCTGGTTTTTCCTAGTCAAAAATAGATGAACTTTTAGTTATGTCAAATATGACTTTTATGTCACTAGTCTTTACATATTTCCTTTTTCTTTACTGCAAAACCCTTTGGCAGAGAGTGGACTTCTCTTGTAAATGGATCTGTGATCCAGTTTTTGTTTGTTAGTGATGAGAAAGGTGTTTTGATTTGGGGGCTTATTTTGGTTTGGAGTTTTATTTGGTTTTTTATAATTAAGTTTGATGGCTCAAATTCAGTCAGCATACCTTCATGTTAGTTTTGAGGTCAAAGTGAATTTTCACTTTGAATTTTTCACTTTTCAGTTGCCACAAGGATTTTTTTCAAAGTTTGCCAGAGATGGCAATTTTCTTCCTCCTGTGCTATAAGCTACAGCTCACAGCGCCTTTTGTTTTGTCAAGAACATTTGAAAAGCACTGCAAACCAATATCGAGTTCATTGAGTTGTGCAAACCAGTTAAATGACTTAACTATGGCTCTTGACAGCCCAAATGCAGGCTTAAAAGAGGAGTTTAGAGCTAAAATCACTGTGGAAAACCTGTGCTTCAGAACAAGGCTCAAGGAGAGCTTGAGCTTTCTCCACAGTTGAGTCTTTGGTTGCTTCTGACTTTGTTGCACAGAAGTGGAAGTTTCTGTGAGTTTCCATGTGTCTGCTTTGGTAAAATTGATCAGTGTTGTGACCAATCACATGTGCATTTTAGTGTGTTTGGTGTTTTGCACTCAGTAGACTAGTGTTTGAATTTGAGTAGAGAATAGGCTGGTGCACTTAAACCACTCATCTCCTATATTTGACCTCTATAGATTAAGTTTTTTAAATTTCTGGAACAATTAATCTTTAGCTGTCATTTTTGATTCAGATATTACCTGTGTCATCAAAATTAGTCAGTTGTATCTTTGCTTTTCATTGCCTCTGTGCTTTCCATTAGTGAATATAATAAATTCTGGAGTTTTTGTAGGAGGAGACCTCTGACGTCTTTGCACTAATGCTGGAGGGACTAAGGACTGCTTCCTTCTGTATACAGTCCATAGATTTTCTTTTACTCTGAATTGTGAAATATTTGATTTAAGAAATTGCAATTGGACAGACAGTGTCAAAGCTTCTAGAACTCCTCCAGTATTTGTTGGTTGTAGCAGGAAAGTTACCAATAGATCCTAAAATCTCTTGGGCTGCCTTCTGCATGTGTTATAGTTTCCTTTTTTCTCTCTATATGTGTATTGAGGAAATTTTTAGTTGGAGGGCAGAGAGATTGAACTTAGAGAGCAGGTTCAAGTCAAGGTGTAAATGAAGGACATGCCACTCCATTTAGACAGATTTGGCTCCAGGATATTTTTTTTTTTGCTTCTGAGCAATTCTAAGCACCTCAGATATTGCTCTGTGTGGCCTTGGATGTGCTTTAATTCCAAAACCTTTGAAGTCCCAAGAAGCTGCTCTTCTGTGTAAGAATTACCTGTTTTCCTAATTTTACAACTGAGCTTTTATCTGCTGTACAAATTCATCTTCAACCACCCCATCCACACTTCAGGCACAGGGCACTCACTACACATCCATGGTTTCTGAGCTCCTGCTAGCTTGCTCTGTGCAGCAAGTGGCACAGGTGAGTGTCTCTTTTGGATGGGTCCCCTACACAGGAGTGTTTCTGGGAGCAGTAGATTCTCTATTTATTTTGAACGTGCTGGTTAACATGAGATCATCAGGAGGGGCCCTAGCAGTGAGGAATGGACCTTCACAGATTTGCCTTGGTAGCTTGCTGCATGCTGAAGGTTACCCCCAGCAGAAGGCCAGCCAGCCAGCTGTGTGCCAGATGACTGCGCAGCACCCAACTGCACACAGCCATCTCACATGAGAACTATTAAATAAAATACTGTGCTACTGACACTTTCTTCAGCTGAAAGCATCAGAGGAATGTTAGAGGTGCTGGTGGCTTGTTTTTCCTTTAGTTTTTTTAGCAATCCAGTGTTGTAACAACTCTCTGAAGGTAAAATCATTTGTACAATAAAGGGGTTTGCACAGACTGGTTTGCAGCAAATGTGGGAAAAATATTCTTAGTAATGCTTTCCATATTTGGAGCTTACACTTAAAAATGATGGGAGCATCACTCCTTATGATAGCCCCAATATGATTACAAAGCAATTCTGAGAGTGATGTGATAAAGTGCTATTCAATATATGAAATTTCCTTTAAAAATGTGCTTTGTTTCCTTAACGCTCTAATATTTTTGCTATCTAAACGTATTTGCTGTCTTCCCTCAGAAGAAACTGCCTGTGATTTCCAAGGGAGTTTTGCCTAAGGTAGGACTTGAAACATCAGGACCAGGAATTAGTGTAATGTGACCCACCATTTGTATTGCTTTGGGGTAAATTTGAGAGAGAAGATTTAACATTGTGTGTGTCATGCTGAGAAATTGCAATATCTCGGATGGGTTATTAGGCACCAATCCAAAGGTTAAGTGCAGCAACCACATGAGATGTGGCTTTATCCTTACATGATCTGTGCCCGTGTTCTGTTTTGTAGTCCTCTGAAATAGGTAATATCCCTAGAATAAAACATGTTTATAATACTTTTTTGAAGCCTATCCCAAGCTACTAAATGTCATTTCAGTAGAAAGGTGTTTGCTCACATCATTTGAAATCTAGAAATCAATCTTTGTATGTGTGGACTTACTGACGTTTTAAATGTGGATCCCAATGTGCACCAGATAAATATTCACGACCATTGGGAAAGTGTAGATCTGAATTTGCAGTTCAGGATCTTTTCTAATTTACATGCATATATCTTTTTGGGGTTTTATTTTCCATGCTCTTTTTGCTTGGCTTACATTAAATAAAATGCTTCAATGGAGTGTGGTAGTCTAGCATTTGTTTTGCCTCGGGAGTGGATTGCCCCATCTTGCGTATCTGGTCAAGTAAATTGCTCTCTTGCCTGCATACTTCAATAATAGTACTGGGCTTTAGACCTTCCTGCACAACCCCCCAGTGAGCAGAACCACAAGGGGCTGGGCCTGTGTGGTGCTAGCAGTCTACTCTATTGTCATGGATGCATTCATCTCCTATTTACATAAATTAATAGTTAAAACTTGTTTGGTTGCTCAAGAAAACTCATTAAGCTTTCAGAGTAGCTGTATCACGAGCACTGTGGCAATCGCTCCCATTGACTTATCTCCTGCTGATTCACTGGGAACCAGTCCATCTCGGGGTCAGGTCCCTAAGCTTCACTGCAGAATTAAACAAATAGCATTTAAAAGAAAATGCAAATAATATGTGCTGTGCAAAGTGAATGTTGGTAAGCTTCCTTATAAAAAAGAGGTCGTGATTAAAATTTTTAAAAATAAAATCCTATTTTTGTCTGCAGGGCTAATTTTCTCTCAGGAAATAGATCATACTTTTTATCCATTTTCTGCTAGTCACTGGAGAATGTTTGACATTGTAAAAGAAAGGTCAGTTTGTATAACCTGAAGGAGGAGGAGAATGTTTAATGTGAAAAGCTTGGTCAGATTTTTATTATTCTTATTTGAATGTTCTGCTTTACCCTTTTAATTTATCCTCTTCACTATACGATTTTTATTTTTCTTTATTTCCTATTTGTTTTTTTTTTTTTGTAGATTGGAGAAAGAGAACATTCAGCACAGCATTAGCAATGAAGCAAAGGCCCGAGCCCTTCAGGCCCAGCAAAGAGAGCAGGAGCTGACACAGAAGATGCAGCAAATGGAGGCCCAGCATGAGAAAACTGGTAGGTGGTAGGGAAAGATTAGAGCCTGGGCACTCACTCACAAGCCAGGCCCACGCCTTACTGTGAAATGACATCAGGAACACCTGTAACCTTTGGCTGGCCGAAGGGAGCAGATGCTAACTACACCGGAGATTCCGAATTACATATTAGTTAGCGTTTAAAAGAGAAAATGGAAAGTATTGCCCACTGTCTGTTGATTTCAGAGTGCTGCTCTCACATCTGCTGCACCATCTGGATTATGAGTTTATTTACCTGTGTTCAAGAAACGTAAAGCTGAGAGAGACCACAACAAAGTAGAAAAACAAAGGGCTTGTTTTTGGCTGGATTTTCAGGCACACATGTTATATAAAGAAAATAGCATCAGAAGCTCTGCGGGAAATGCTCTGAGCTTACAGTTAAAGTCTCCTGAATAGCATTGAACAGTTCCCACAGTACACACATTATAGCTACTCTAAAAGCTTAATGAGTTTGCTTCGGCATCCAAACTGGAGAAAAGCTTTAGCCATTAATCGGTTCTTAATTCACTGTCGCAGCTGGATGTAATTCACTGGCTCCAAATTGATATGTTCCTTTATTTAATCTTTGCAGCCTCAAACATTTTTAGCATTACCATGTGCCTCCCCCACATCCTCAGTCTAGAAGAAAGATGTTTAATCCCTTGCATACTTCAGGTTCTCATAATAGGAGACTTCATTGCATTGACTTAGCCCATCAATAACATCTAACTTTAATCTGGAAGTAAAATGGATTTTCCAAACAAACAAAAAAGAGCTTTTTGTATTATGAAGTACTATGCCAACAACATTAATAGAGGTGCATATTATAAATAAACAAAAAAAAAGGAATTTTTAAGAGATGAAATCTGTAACCCATGAGCATGGAAAGGAGGAGGAGTTTCAACTGTTAAAGAACATGATATATTTATGTGTTTACAACATACCATATTTACCAACCAGTCGTGCAATATTTCCAGGAAAACTATACAACATACATTAATTATAAGGGGTGTTGGATAATACGTAAGGTAGCAGGCATGCTATTCAATTTTCTGCCTTTTTTTAGTATTATCACAGTACTAGAGGACCTTCTCATGTGTTCAGGGAATGCAAACAGCTACATTATGGCTGCTGCCTACACTGTAGGAGAAGAAAAGAAGCTCTCAGAATAATTTTTTCCTCCTTTAGCCAGCACATCTGCATATGACCATGTGTAATTTTTCACAAGAGAAATGTAATTTACCTTTCTGGTGCATAAATTGTCCCACTATACAAAAATGAAACAATATTATGTCTGGATCTGTTTTTATACATCTCTAGTCGAATTAGAGGGAGTTGAAAATTATAGTAATTTATAATGTATATAAAGAAAACCTTGTTTATTATGACCCTACACACATACAAGGAGTTTGGGCAAGAGTGGTTATGCTTTCACCAATTTTAAAAGCAGAAATCAAAAAAGATAATTTTGCAGTATCTCCCTTTTGAAAAAATAAAGATACCTGGATTCTAGGTCATGAGTTTAGGTGCAGTCCAAACTGATAGTAACTGAAAATTACTTTATGAAATGGTTTCATTTCAACTGTCACTGGGCAGTAAGTGTAATTTTTTTCATTTAAGAATAAAAATTACATTATTCATGTTAAGCTCAGGAGACAGTAAATAAAAGAACTGCTGTTTTAAGCAGATACTGAAATGAGTCTACAGTGTGAGCATTTGGGTTGCTGGTGTATCCTCTGCACCAGTTGAGCAAGGAAAAGTCTGCTAAAGCATGGCTTGCCAATTTTATTCCTCCTAGAAATGTCAGTGAACTTCTAGCTAAAAAGCAAGCCCACCAGATTAGATATCTAGTCTGCACAGTGATTCTTCTCTTACAAGACCAGATTCAGTGGCAACATTGCTTTAACACTTCAGCTAATTCTGACATAGAACCTTAATTTGGTAAGTGATGATGTCCAAGTAGCTGAAGTTTAAAAATACATTTCAAAATAGAAGGAACTGAAAGAAAGAAATTAAGAATATATAAAATTGTTTCTATGTTATCTACAAATTTATATAATTGTGATTTCATAGCATCACAATTTTGTGTTTTCTAGTAGAAGAACTGGATTCATTGCTGACCTCCCAGAATACATTCATAGCAAAATTAAAGGAAGAATGTTTTGTATTGGCAAAGAAGTTGGAACAAATGTCAGAAAAATACAGGTTAGTATATTTTTGTTAACCTGACCCTTTTATTACTAGGACATGCTTCTTGATCTTTTTATTTGCATTTTAATATTTTTTTTTTCATTTTGTCCCAGGTATTACATATCATATCAATGTAATATATGCCCCTTAAAAATGCAGTATAATATGCCCCTTAAGATTTTGTTTCTAACTAATAATTCAAATTTCTTGGACAATTCCAAAGTATTTTCTTCCTTGTGTTCATAATCTTAATATGAACGGTAGAAAATTGTTTCTACAATTCAAGTTTATCTGAAGTTATATGAAAAATGCTAAAGATTCAATAATCTCAAACTGTTGTAATTTTATTTATTTACTCTAGTACTCTTTTCACAGTACTACACTACACACTGGATATTGTCTATAAAATAATTGTCATCAAAATTGCTTGTCATTGATGCTCTGATTCTGCTGCTGCTTTTTATCAATCAATAGTAGATCTAAGTTCAAAGCCATTAAAAACTGAGGAAGAGAGCAACACCTGGAAGTGATAATAATTTAAAGAAATACAAAGCTGTGGAGGTGTCTTTTCAAAAGTTCTGTAAGATAGAACTATATTCTAAAGAAAACATGAATTTTGTAATTCTTTAGCAGAAATAATTTGATTTTACATTTTTAAGTGTAAAAATAGTATCTGTTGAAATTTCATTGGAGATTCATATTTAGAGTAGTAAACTGGACTTCAGTGGAGAGTTGGCATTCTGTAGCTTCTGTAAATTGCATGCAAAGTTCATTTGCTAATTAAGGCTAGTATTCATCTCATGGCCGATGGGAAGTAAGGAAAACACTCAGCAAAGGTAAAAATGGTTTTCAAGACAGAATTCTTCTGCTGGGTGGATTTGTGGATTTAATCATCCTTTTGAGGTAATGTAGAAGAGGCAGAACTCACTCAGGGAGAGAGCTCATTTATCTCAGTGCCCTCTTCCCAGGAATGGTCAAAGGAGAATTTAAGTAAATGACAGACACACACACACATATATATATGTCTGTAATAAATAAAATTTATGTTTCCCATGTGTACTGCCTCCACTGCCCATCCTACTTCCCACTGAATATAAAGTGTTGACTAGCTGTTAAGTGTCTGAAGTTTGGAGATTAATCCCATCCAGAGTGTTTGGGGAAGAAATGAGAAACTTGAGGGACTGTAAGCAATATTCCCATGCAAGTGTTTTGAGGGATACTTGAGAGAGAAGCAAAGAGAATTTTTCCTCTGAAAAAGAAGAGCTCTTCTGCTAAAGTAATGCAAAATCTAAATGGATTCAAATCATATTATTATTCCAGCAATAAAAAAGCACACAGACTTTGTTGCTAGAGCTCACAGTCACAGACTAGTAACTGTAAAGGATGAAGGAAAGACAGAAAACATACTGTGAAAACACATTATTCTCTGAAAATAAATACTAGAGATTGCCAAGTGTTTCTCCACCTAGCAGCATTAGCTGACTATGTCAAGGACCTGAAAATGGGAAAAGGAGCCCTCTTGCATCTCCAGGAAGTGGTATTTTTTATACAAGAAACTGTAAAGAAGAATGCATGAAAGTGGTTCTGAGAAGTGGTCCTAAAATAACTTGAGCTTGCCTTCATTGGAGTGGGAGCTGCTGCAATCAGTTACAGGGATAGAGAAATAGGTAGAGACAAAAAAATAGAAGGTAAAAATGAGAACAGCAAGGTGGAACTGGAGGTGGTGGAAAATGACAGACTAATATAGATGGCTTCACAAAGTGATGTGATCAGGAGATCAGATGCAGAAAATTATTTAGCCAAGTTCTAAATGCATGATGGGCACATATCCCTCAGTAGTGCCTCTCCAAAACGCAGTCTTCAGCTCATTGTCACTGAATGTTGTGCAAAACCACATTATGGTACAGAATGCTGTAGTTTTGTCTTCTGCAAAAAAGCAATAATTTGGGGACGATTTTATGACTTAGATCTTATGTACATTAATAAAGGCAGATTACAAAGCAACAGTGTACCCTATTTTCACAGAAAATACTTTCCCATTTTTTTCCATGTTTCTGACATTACCATAAATTGAATTTTGGATCCAAATGTGTATTTTCTTGCTGTACTTCTGGAATCTTTGTGCCTTATTTTCCATGGGTTTAAGATATACCTGTGTGCTACCAATACCATTATTTAATTGGTAGAACACTCAAGCTCTTTTAATAACAGATGCAATAGTAAGTTTTTTTTTAAATTTTCTTTTGTTTGATAGGAAGTGCCCATGTGTAACAAAAGACATTTCAAATTTATCTGTGACAACTATGTATTTCTACAATATCAACTGAATTATCTGAATGGTACATATATTTTTATATTTAATGCAGGTTTTCTGAGAAATCTCAACTGAAGTTTTTGTGTTTATATGTAAGCTGGAACCATTTTTTGAGCTAGTCCCTACACAGAGAGGTGTCAGAAAGACAATGTCAGACGAATTATAAACCCTTCAAGCTGTGCAGAAACAAGATAGTGTCTGTGAAGGTTTTCGTATGCATAGGCATGTTTAAAAATACAGTCCTTTGTTGATTTCTTCTCTGTTTCTCTCTTGTTTTGTTCTTTTTTTCCCTCTGATTGTCACTGTCTGAGTTTCTAGGTTGTAGATTAATGCTTAACACTACCCACTGTGTATTTGTGATTTGCGTTTTGTAATTAAGGGGAACAATGGGAGTCCATTGGGTCTCGTTATATATAATGGTTGGTTTAATTTGTTTCACTTCTATCTTGTTAATTGTAAATTGATCATTAAGATTTGAATTCTAATCTGTCACCAGGGTTGTGAGTATTGAAGCTAGAGCAATGATCCTGGTTTTAATCACTGATGATGAGAAACAAATTTTATAATTTTGGTACATATTGCAGTTCATATACTTTAACACTGTATTTTATGGTGTTATAAATATTGTTAAATGACTTTTAGTGTAGTTTTACTGTTTGGACTATAATGTATAAATTATATTACTGGTTTGGCAACAGTAGGCATCCAACTGTGTGAGTTTAATTGAAGTAAAGAACACATACCCGGCTGAACTATTTTCCTGCCTGTTTGGTTGACTGCAGTCGTTGCACTCAATACCAGGAGTGAAATGTTTGTTGAAGGTAGCTGTATGAAGATGGGGAACAGTCTGTCTGAAGATTTAGTCATTAAAATTAGATGCAATAATACTGCATCAGCAGAAAATATTTTAGAGCATGTGTTTAATTTCTGTGCAAGTTAACAATTGGTTTTAAGAGCAGGAAAAAGCAGTGTTTAAAAAGCACTGAAATGAAAAAGCTACTTCAGAGGAATAAATGCAACATTGCCACCTTATTTTCAAAAATCAGCTCATCCTAAAGATATCCTAAGATTGACTTTGAATTTTGACTATTTAACATTTTCACCTTTTGTTTTTCCCTTTAGTATTTAAGTGGTTTGGGGGCTAACCTGTTTGGGTTTTTTTCCAAGATTCTTCCAGCAAAGATGGTAGATAAAACCTTAAAGTGGTTTTTAAATAGAAGTTGAGGTAGTTAAATGGATCCAGAAGTATTGAGGGGGTTTGTTTCTGTCGTTGCTTCTGCCCCCATCAATTATATTTGATATAGTAACAAGTAAATGACACTTGGCAAAATCTATTATGCATCCAATTACAAGCATGCATTTTACATTTGCATGTGATGTTGTAGCTTTGCTCTGTGCAGTTTCAAAATAACAATGATTTCATACAGGTCATTTGAGTGTATCAGATCTCAGAAGCACACACAGCTCCGTGACTGCCTGGCTTGTGGGGCCAGCCTGAGTCTCCAGAGGTGCCTCTTCCTGCTGAGTTCAGCTCCAGTGGCAGCACTCCAAATGCCTGCATGCTTCAGTTTCTACCGAGTCCACCACAGCTTATTGCTCAGACTGTTGGACCCAGAGTAGCTCAGGTGGAACAACATCAGCACATCCATGCTGTGCCCTTTAGTTGTGCAGGATGCATCAGACACAGTGATTATTGCACAGATTTCTCTAATTTGCCTCTGTCCCCAGCATTGTGAGTGAACTATCTCTGAAGTTCAGCGCTGCATACTTAGACATTTCCCCCCTCTCTTTTCCTGCTGTGATACCTTGGGAGCAGAGTTGTTCAAAAGCATTTACACAGGAGTTGTCCTGTCTCTGGCTGAGTGGAATTTCTACTCCTGTATAAATGTGCTATAGCATTCAGTGCAGTTATCAGGCTTAGTACAATTGTGGTGGGTTTGGGGTTTTTATTTAACCCAGCAATATGTGAAGTTACTTAAATATCACATAGAATTATCTGTCTTATCTTAATCTTTGGAAACTGAGGTGAATGAAAGGTGTGTTTAAAGATGCAGAGGGAATCATTGACAAGTGACAATGGAAGATTCTTGGTATGCAGTATTGTATTGGACTGGTGTTCTCTCTAATGCTAACACTCTGAACCTTTTAACATGGATCTACCCATTCTGTCCTTCATATGTGCTGTCCTTCAAAAATTCAGTGTCATTAAATACTTGAGTCTTGGGGGTCAGACTCTTAGTTACATGGAAAGGACATTGTGTTAGTCATGTCATAATTAGAATTTTTTTTTCTGTTTAACTGTAATTACAAAAGATGTTTTAGGAGGAAACAACACTCATAATGTGCTTCAAAGCATCAGGCATTTAGAGCTCTATTTTAGAGACTGGAGATTATGATACTAATGGTTTTAATTAATTCATTACTTACTTTGGTTTCATTAATTATGATTTCAGTAGTGTTTTGGTTGATTTGAATTACTTGATCTTTCCAGAAAGACTTTGGGCACCTTCAAGTGTAATGGAGATTAATAAGTCCTTGTGAAACTTGGAGAATTTTATCACCTTGAAAGTTGCTTCTGCTGTTTCCATGAATGAGACAGTCACATATAAATACAGAAAAAGAAACAGGATCTCCCAGTTGAGAAACCCAACAAATGTGATAATTTACATTATTCCTACATGGCAAATGCTGTTGCTGAATTTTGCTGGCAAAAAAGGAATGCAGAATTGAATTTAGTCCCGTGTCAGGTCTCTTTGTGCTTCTCTGCAGTGAAACTTTTCTTTTATCTGCTGGTTGTCTGTCTTACAGTATCAGTATCAAGTGCAGACTGCATTCACATTGTGTGATAACAGTTGGTCCAGCTGGCAGTGCTTTGTTAATGCTGACATTTAAGTTACTAGTATTTCTGTAAAATGGTCGGTGGAAAAATTCAGTTTCTGCTACCTTCCTATAACATCCTGCCCACTATTATGTATCCATCCAGGAAACTCCTGTGCACTGAAGTTTGCTGTACAAATCTATCAGCACAATTCTGATGTATTTGTGTGTGATCTTCCTTAATAGAGCTGTAACACTCAATCTGAATTCAATTACATACAGTCTCGGTCCAAAGTTTCCTTTCCTAAGTTCTTTTAGATTCACAGATGATACCATGCATTGTTCTCTATTTAAACATGAAAAGATCATGTTGTCATTTCTAGATTTGACTTGTCAATGTAACAACATGTTTTTGAAGGAGGAGTATTCCTTCCTCCCTGCATTTTGTTGTATTTTTCAGAATGTCAGTTGTTGTTGCATTCTGTAACAGCCAAGAAGGTAAAGTATTTCTGCTGTAATTGCAGCATATTTAAGTTTATGATTTAAAGAGATATCTGAAGCTTTTTAACCTTGAGATATGGAGTGGCAGATGCCATAAATCAAATTTGCTTGCTTTTGATTCGTACTTTCTGATGGTATAGCAGATTCTGACATGTTCTCATTAACCTTTTCCAAAGAGTTAAAATTGTACAAGTGCATAATGTATATTTTATCACTATTTAATCTGAGGTCTTTTCCTGATATTAAGAAACAGCTCATGCCTGTTTCTCCATGGGCTGATGGTTAGAGATGTAGCAAGTAGCAGTCCCAGGTCATTCATGGATCTGGTGCCTCTGCTCACCCGTGAAGAATAAGAATTGCTTAGAAGTGACTAATATTCTTAAAGGCTGTGCTGAGTTTTATGTAGATTAGTGTGTGCCTGTATGATTTGTCCCTTGTTTCTGAAAGTTTAGTTAATTTTCCTCTTAGTGAGGCTTTGGGTTTTTATTGGGAGTGAGTGTTTTTTGGGGGGGACGGGTTTATGGGGTTTTGTTGTTGATGTCTTTTTAATCTGTGCAATGTTATTTTAGACACAGGAGGTTACTATAGTTTCTAAAACAGTACCACTATTGAGAGTTCAACCTGTGAACTGTTGGGAGTTCAACCTATAAAACAGAGTAAAGGTTGAACAAGGTTTTAGTAACTGTTTTTTAAAATTAAATGTTAGCTTTTGCTAATAAAGAAGTTAAAATGTGTTTTCAAAATGTTAGCCAAATTCTTGCTTAACAAGTATGAATTTACATTTATTGATCTTATTTAACATAGATGCATAATGCCAAATGGCATGCCTGTTTAAATTAGGCTGAAATTAGCACAGCCAACCTATAATTGAGTGATTGCCAGTGGCATATTTAGAAGATACCCACCAGTATCATATTCTTTTGTCTTGAGATTATCTGAAACAGCATTTTGTTTCTGTAAGTTCTAGTAATAGCTTGTTTATGCATTACATATAAATGTATGGAATTTTATAAATGCTGAAGCCACATATTGATGGCACACTGCAGGATAAAATCTGACAACATCCATCATCGCTTTGTTTTACTTCTGTAGATCTGAAGTCAACCAGCTTAGTCAGGAAAAAGAGTATCTTCATGGCAGATTGGAGAAGATGCAGAAACGGAATGATGAATTGGACCAACAATGTATCCAGCATGGGAGAATGCATGAGAGAATGAAGTCAAGGTAGGAGGTCCTGTTAATCTGTCAGTATGTGATATGCTCAACTGTACCGGTCGTGTTGTGTAAACATAAAAGTGACACGAGGTTGTGTGAAAGTAATATTCTTTCCTTATGAAATGACCACTCCTTCCCCCTCCCCAACCATTCTGTCAAGTTGGTTTTTTTAACATCTTTTGCTTGTGCCATTTTGGATAAATAAAAGGAAAGCTTGAACAACATAGTCTTCCAAAGAATTTAAACCTAGTACATATGTGTGTGGGCTGCTTCGGCTGTTCTCTGCTCTAACTTGTATGAATAGTCTTACCATTTAAAAAAAAAAGGGAGAGGGGAGCTGGGAAGGAAGGAGGGAAGAGGTTATTCAGTGATGTGAATGTAGAGTACAGATGTGTGTTCCATTATGCCATGTAATAGTTGTATTTTTGGGGTTTACCATCATTTGTACAAACAGACAAATTTTACTGAAAATCACAGTAACCAGAGAAATACCATTTCCAGGCACCACTAGCCTTTCAGAGAAGCAGTGACTTCCTCAGGATGAGCTGGGAGCAGCTGCAGCAAGGCTAGTGTGAAATATTTTCACCAATATCAATTGACTGTTCTGGCCAGAGTCTCCAGACTGATAATGGCTTGTGCTGTGATATGGATTAGACTTCCTCAAAGATCACTGTGCAGTCTTTTCCTTTTGGTTCCAGAAAGTTCATCTATGCTTTCTTGTTCTGCTTTCCACTCCACATTAAGTGTAACAGGCACTGGAGGTCATTTTGACATGCTTGTGGTGGGAGAGGATGAAGTAAAGGAAAGGCTGAGACGTAACTCTGCAAATCCACTCATCCAAGCTACGTCTTGTCTGCAGTCAAGGGCAAAATGCAGTTTAACTTTATTTGGACTAGACAGCCCTTACTGGGGAAAATTCTTTTTGCTTTTTTTCATCATTGACCACCTGAGAGGAGCAGAGCTTGCAAGTATTATAGCAGCCAGTCCTCTATGCTCATTTCTTTAAAGTATTGATTTTTAATTTTTTTTACTGCCATCTCTTTGTTCTCTGTCTATAATCTTGTTTCTTGCAAGCACTTCATGTGTTCATCTCAGTCGTCCAGACCCACTTCTTTCCTCTTCCCTTTCAGATTTCTGTCTGTACCTCATCCTGTTCTCCTGTAACCTTGGATTGTCATCATCATTTATAGCTCAGAGAACAGAGAAATTCAAAATGCTGCAACTGTGTCCCTAATCTGTGTAACCACACAATCTTTCCATTTATCTCACCTCCCTTTTGATTTCTTTAGTTATGGTGGATTCTCATCATATGCAGGACTGAGGATTTGAGGTTATTTTCAGGAGAAAAAATTTTCCCCCCTCTTTTTTCTCCTAGCTGCTCTTCTGCAGATTATGAGTATCTAGTAGAATTTAAAAGTGCTTTGCAAGTTTTTAGGATAACCTTTCCTCTATCTATTTTTATAAATAAGATAGATCTACTGTAAAATGTTGCTCATTCTCTGCTGCAGCAGCAATGATTCTGCAGTAGAAAAGACTGAAAGCATTAATCCAAAACACAAAAGTGATTTGAAAGCAGAGTGGTCATGCTGCAGGCAAAGCCTTACCTTCTGCTGCTGTTTTGCAGACAACAGAGAAAACAGGGCAGTAATAGCATTTGTCTTATTTAATATTTTAGAATATGTAAATATGGCAGGGATTATTAGATGTTCCAAACATGAACAATATACTTTACCAGCATTTTAAGAGATGGCTCTTTTAACATATTTTTAATTGTCATCTTGCACTCTATTAATTTAAATTCCAACTAATAAGTGACAAGGCTGATACTCTACACTGCTTTAAACAAATCAGTGTAATCTAATTTTATTTTTCCATGTGAAAACTGTAGTTGATTTTCAGGATTAATTCCCAAATGCTGTAAATTGGTCATGAAGTTTACAAATCTAGGTGAAAAAAGCAGAAGGAATAACTACTCCAACAAATAAATCTCCCAGTTGGATATATTTATGTTGAAGGATTTCCACTAAATAAAAATAGTGATTTTTCTCTTCTGATTTTGAAAATAGATATCTGACTTTACTATTTAGTGAAAGCAGAACAACAAATAATAATAACGTATTTTGCCTCAGATTTTCATCACTTAGATCCTAATAATCTCAGCAAAATACTGTTGATGATGGTTACTTCTTAATACATTTGTTTTGCCTTTGTATTCTCCTTTATATACACATAGCAGCTACAAATAGCAGTGGCTGTTTTGCAACACAGTCCCACAAAGTGCATTCTGACCTAATTTTCTAGCTGCTGTTATTATGGAGCTTCAGAAAATCTCTCTTATTAAAATGATTTTGGCTAAACTTGGAACCTAACATTTGCATTTTTAAAATGGGGTTTTGTGATATTTGCTTGAGAAGATATCACTGTCCATACTTGTTTTATCCAGGGACAGCATGACAGGCCCTGATATAACTATTTTGTGGAAGAAACAATACCTAAATGTTTAGAATTTGTTTTGGAGCAAAAATGCTTTGGCAATCATAATAGTTGCACTCCTGAAACTGAACAAGAAAAGTGTTTTAGTGCCATTCCTACCTCTGTGTGATGCAAATGAATAGAGTCCAAAATTAAATAAACAAATTTCTAAGAAAGAGATTACTTTAAGTGCCACTCATTAAACAGGATATGGAATCAGCCTTTTCAGTATAATGGAAATACCCAGCCCTTTTGGTGTGCTTTTACTCAGTGAAATATGGCATTAAAAGAAGTAGATGTCTATCCTAAATTATACAATTGTCACATATTACTGAGGCAGACTTGAATTGAAGGATGTATGGTTTGCAGGACTAACTAAGGTGATATGTTATGAGTCCAAGTGGAGCTGGTCATCATGTGTATCTTCCTGGATATGAATCTTGCCGAAATTCTTGTCTGTTATGTAGCAGAGTCCATTTTTATAAATTTTTAACCTCAAAGCAAACTGTCTTATTAAATTCTTCAAATTCCCATTCTGTAGATTTGTGTTCATAGTAGAAATTAGCAGATAACAGAAAGTATAGAATTTCTTATAAGGCAGCTGTAAAGGTAGAAACTAGCCAAGAATAAAAAGACTATGAAGCAAAACTAAAAGGTTTCTATCTTTTGGGGTTTTTTTTTGGTGCTCCACCTTACATAATTTGAATAGATACCAGATGAAGGAAAATTCAAAGCCAGATGAATTGGCTAACTGTATGTATAAAGTTGGTTCATTCTTTCCTTAATCTGTTTTCAAACTGAATTCCCAGGTGTGCATTTTCACATAACTCTGTAGTTAGGCCTGTTATGCAAACACTTTCTCACAAGCTCTTTTCTCTTCCAATTTGAAGAGTAAGAAGAAAAAGACAAGAACCTGTCTAGATCTGTTATTGTTTGAACATATATATGAATAAGTATCATTTGGCCAAGCTGCCATGGGTCAGGATTTCATCAGGATGTTTGAACTTTCACTGAACTTAATTGACGACTCTTATAGTTACAAGGTTCAATCATGGCTTTACTTTTCTTCATCTGTTCTTCTCGTAAAACAAGTATTTGATTGTAACTCAGCTATTTAGAGGATTGTTTCCGTGGACAGCCAGTATCTAAAATGAGAGGCATTTAATGAAATATAGCTTAGCTCTTTTCCATGTATGTTTCTGGTTGAAGACCTTCAAGCAGGAAAAGAAAATCCTAGGAAATTTCTTTCCTTTTTTCAAGATGAGCCAGACATGCCTTTACTTTTTATGAAGCAGTTAAAGAAAAGAAAATCATTTGGACAGTAGTTTATATGAAATATAGGACTATTTTAAAATCTTTTTATTAAAACATAAATTTAGAAGCTTCTAATGAGCTTCTTTCCAAACATTTTTCTAAAGTTCAGCATATGGAATTTGGGGCTATGAATTTTCTCTCAGATCTTGTGGTTATGGTTCATATTACTGTAATTTTTGCTGTAATGTATGTGATCAATGTCCAATCTGTATAACATTAACAACAATAATACATCTAATGCAAATCTGTGTGGGGCTTTTCGTTGTGGGAGCTTTTTGGAGGTGACACTGTTAGACGTATTTCAACTGTATTTTTGCTAGCTAAAGTTAAAAAGAAGAGCCTACAGGACTGGCAGTTTGGGGCAGATGTGTGTCTATTCCTTAGGCATCAGTGGTTGTAAGTTAACTATAAAAATGTAACAACCATCTGTGTAACAAGACGGCAGAGATCTGCTCTCGCCTGTTACTATAAATAAGAAGGAGATTTGTTTGACTTCATAGACATTGGATTTATAAAGACTCTATGTGTCAAATTGGAACTACGTGCCATGTTGCTGAGATGTGTCTGCAGCCAACTACCTGGGGTGTCTTCCCCTTCAGACATTCTAGTGTGGTGCAGCAACTGTGCAGAAATGTCTGTATGGCACAACATGTGACAAATTATATTTGTTTTCTACCTATGGCAAATGTAGGATTCTTATGGATAAGCTTATCTGGAAGGGTAGCTAAAATGGATCTTTAAACAGACCACTCGAGTGAAAATGTGATACTTAGTTTGACAAAGATTGTAAAGGCTATTTTCCACCTTAATTTTTTTTGTTTTGTTTTGTTACTAAGTGGTAGTGTATGCAAGATCATGTGTGCTTAAGAGAGCACATATCTATGGGAATTAAGACATATCTAGAGAGAATTCACCAACATTTTCAAATATCTGCTGTGTAAAATTACAATAGCTAGTTTGCTGTCACTATTACACTACTGAATAGAAATTTCAGATTTCTTGTCAAATCTTCGGTAGAACTACTCATTAAAATTATTAATTGATAACTGGAGCAATCAAGTTGCATTTGAAATTTTACATTTTCTCCTTAAAACTGAAGTACTTTTTTGTGTGTATATGTGTTTGCAAGAAACAATGACGAATGGACGAATTTAGGTTATGTCATTACCTGAAAGACCTTTATTTTCTTCCAGTCTACTTCATTCTCAGTTAAATTCATTGTC